TGCAGGTACTCTGTCTTTCAGATAGCGGTGTATCTTAGTCTCTGCACCAGCTTGGAGCTCTCGGCAGACAGAGTGAATATGATAATCTGCGCTCAAAGCTCAATACTGATGGACGTAATTGAACAGAAATGCAGCATTTCCTTTCTTGTCTTCTAATAGGTACCTTGATGCATTATTAGTTACACCAGTTCTTCGAATTATTGCAGCAGAAAATTCCCTGTTGATGCACCTGTGGATGGCCGCGCCAGTGCCACTTCAGGACAGCCCGGCCAGCTGATTGGAGCAATCAGGTGATGGGTCCCTGATTTGTTGACTTTTTGTGGATGGCATGGGTTGCCCATCAACCCTCCATCAGCATCGGGACCTGCCACGGCAAAACGAGCACAAGACTAGACACCGAGTTTCTGCGGCATCGCGACGCATATCACGGATCACGGATCACGAGACACGAGACACGACTCTTGCCGGCGGCTTGCGCGTTTGAAGCAGCGCATCCGCTACGATTCCCGCTCCCGTTTTCCCATTCCCACTCGCCTGGGACCTGCGACGAACCGCGAACCGCAAACTTCATTCACCGACAGCTGCCCCGCCTCCTCGTCCCTTTGTACATACCGTTATTCCACTCCAGTATTATTTTATACGGGGCCCGCCGAGAGGCATCACCGACAGCTCAGCCGTGCATCCATTGCCTATCCTGATCCCGGTCGTCGACTCCAGCCTCCAGCACGGCAGGGTAGCTGACACCTGCGGCCGCGCTCCCCGGTATTGTTCGTTGAATCGTGCCAAGTAGCCTCCTGGACTGGATCTGTCGCCTAGCCTCGACTCCCTGACGCATTCACGCCAGCCTCTTCCAGCGTCTGTGGTATGTCGTCAACCGTTTAAAACTCCCCTTCCTCTCCGCCGCATGGCCCATTTGCACGATGGAGTCGCGACGGCGTCACCCGTTCAAGAAGCTGATCCGCAGAATAGCCAGTCTAATTGACCACCGCCCAGCAGATTCTTCAGAGCAGAAGCACCCCCAGACCTCATCAGCGTCACGGCATCTTTCGCTGCCCTCCCTCGTCGCCATGGCCGAAGAGGAGGACTTCTCCTCCTTACCGCTCCCCGACCGCTTTTCACACAAGGTAGGTTCTTTGAAACAGACCTCACCGAATCCCCTCCTGGCTGACCCGACTTGTTTCTTTTGACATGTAGAACTGGAAAGTCCGCAAACAAGCCTACGAAGATGTTGCCAAGCAGTTTGCTAAATCACCGGATGAGTCCGACCCGTGTTTCCGACCCTTTCTGAACGACCCGGGGCTGTGGAAGTCTGCCGTCTCCGACTCCAACGTGGCTGCCCAGCAAGAAGCCATCCTCTCCTTGTGCGAATTCCTCAAATATGGCGGACGAGACGGTGCGTTGCGAACACGCGGACTCACAATCAGCCCCATGGTTGACAAGTGTCTATCATCGACGCGACCTGCTATTAAGCAAAACTCTCTCGAGGCATTGCTGTTATACATTGAACTCGATGTTGCTGCTCCTGTCATCGAAGAAGTGTTACCCGGTCTTGGTAACAAGGTGCCCAAGAACGTGGCGGCCACTCTCAATGCCCTGACCCAGATTGTCCACAACTACGGCTGCAAGATTGTTGACCCGAAGCCTATTCTGAAAGCTCTACCCAAGGCTTTTGGTGCTGCCGACAAGAATGTGCGTGCCGAGGCCACTAATCTTGCCGTGGAGCTCTACAGGTGGCTGCGTGAAGCTATGAAGCCCATGTTTTGGGGAGATTTGAAACCTACACAGCAAACCGATTTGGAGACACAATTTGAAAAAGTCAAAGCCGAGGGCGCTCCTAAACAAGAGCGACTACTACGGTCTCAGCAGGAGATGGCTGAGTCTGGCGGCGGCGGCGGCGGCGATGAAGGCGAAGAGGAAGGTGAAGAGGAAGCGGACGAGCCAGCCGAGATTGACGCTTTTGCCTTGGCCGAACCGGAGGATGTACTGAAGAAGATGCCGCCAAACTTCCACGAGCTTCTTGCCTCGTCCAAATGGAAGGATCGTAAAGACGCCGTTGACGGGCTGCACCAAGTACTCAATGTTCCTCGCATCAAAGACGGCGACTTCAATGAAGTCACGAGAGGCCTTGCCAAGTGTATGAAGGATGCCAACGTTGCCGTCGTTACTCAAGCAGCCCAGTGTATCGACTTATTGGCAAGGGGATTGCGGCAGGCTTTTGGCAAACATCGCGCCACAGTGATGCAGCCCATATTGGAACGATTAAAGGAGAAGAAGGCTACTGTTGCCGATGCTTTGGGAGGGGCCCTTGATGCTGCCTTTTTGGCGACGTCATTGTCTGACTGTCTCGAAGATATCTTGGCTTTCTTGGCAAACAAAAACCCTCAGGTGAAAGAGGGCACGATGAAGTTCCTCATCCGTTGCCTGCGGACTACGCGCGATGTCCCGTCCAAGCCTGAAATCGCCCAAGTCTGCGAAGCCGGAAAGAAGCTGCTTTCCGAATCAAGCCCGGTCATGCGAGATGGCGGTGCTGAGATTCTTGGAACTGTCATGAAGATCATCGGCGAGCGAGCCATGAATCCCAATTTGGAGGGCCTGGACGATATTCGAAAGACCAAGATCAAGGAGTACTTTGAGGCGGCTGAAGTCAAGGCCAAGGACAAGCCCAAGCCCGTTGCGAAGCCGGCTCCAGCAGCGGCACCGAAGAAAGCCGTTGCAGGCAAGAAGCCTGCATTGGGCGCAAAGAAAGCAGCTCCTGCTGAAGCAGCTCCGGCAGCGAAGCCCGCAGGAAGCAAGTTGGGCCTACCAAAGACGGGTGGCTTGAAGGCTCCCCAGAAGCGGCCGCTTGGAAGTTCTGGAACTACATCACCTCGCCGATCCGGACCAATTATGCCACCATCTGACGATGAAGAAGAGCTGCCGCCAACACCGCCGCAGCCAAGAGCTGCGCCTTCTCGTGGTCTGGCAGGCCGTTCCCTGGCCAAGCCTGGCGCGGCCGCTGTGCAGATGCCCGCTGAATATTCTCCTCCTCCTCCAAGTGGCGTTTCCGCCATAGAGAGGGCTGAGCTGGAGGAATTGCGGACTGCCAATGATCGCCTAACTCGCCACATTGACGACCTGCGACAGGAACGAAGCAAATTTGCGTCGGAGATTCAAGAACTGAAGAATCAGAATGCCAGCCTCATCGAGGACCATACACGGGATGTATTGAGTGTCAAAGCCAAAGAAACCCAGCTTGTCCGTGCTCGAAGCGATGCAGAGGCGGCAGAGCAAACCAACGACAGATTACGGCGTGAGCTGGACCGCCTGAAGAAAGCACTCAGCCGTGCCGAGGCAAACGGTAAGTTCAATTGCGTTCTGGGTCCCCATATTCCTTGCGCCGTTGACTGACATTTCGAATATAGGGATGATGTCGCCCACACACGATGACATGTATCGTGATACCATGGCTGCCCCTAGCACCCGCAGTCGGATGAGCCTTGCTAGTAGCTTATCTGATGAGAGGGAAAATGGCGATGTACCATACGCACGAAGCAAGTTAAGTCCGGACCTGCGCTACGCGGGCAGCAACGGATCGTCCGGTCGTGAATCTCCTGCTCGAGGCTATAGGAATATTGGGCGGCATGACGATGGCAGCGATTCTACCTTGACGTCAGGCAGAGACCGCCCAGTATCATCGTTGCCGCAGGCCTCTAACGGAGTAGAGAGCTGGAGGCGAGCAGCCGAGGTGACAAGTCAGTTGAAGGCCAGAATTGAACAGATGAAGGTATGCAAAAGTTGTCTTCAAAAGGTCTTGGTCCTTGATTCTAACATTTAGCAGGCCAAGCAAGGATTTGCCCGACCTTAGGACACGAATCACGAATTTGATGGATACGATCAATAAAGCATCACGATATACGAGATTCCTTGCGCCTAATGATAGCCTGTGATATTGGTGAAACAACCAGACGTACAGAATCATTTTTTGGGCCACGCTACATAGCTTGACATGACGGAATCTTGTGTGCATTTTTAGGCGTTGGAACCCATACCCCCCTTTTTTTAAAAGGAGAAGGAGAGAGAAAAAAGATATTTGGTTGTTAGAAGTATACTGCGGACAAACTGCTCTGGGAAACCTCTTGATGTGAGAGGAGGACACATAGGATTGAAGGTTGAAAGGTATGGATGAACGGATGATGCTGCCTGGGCAGTATCCTGAGGGACCTTTGACTATGCCAAACTTATACGGCTGTGGTGCATTTTAATTTACGAGTTTTTTTTTTCTCTTTTTTTTTCTTTTGCCCTTTTCCGCATTAATATATATGTGTGGGCGGGATTCGGTGAATTTGCTGTGTTGGCTGTTGTCAAGATTGTACTAGAAAAGGGAGGAAGAGGAACTGAAATTAGGTAGTTTACTAAACTGCTGCAATGAAGCTAATTGGCTATGTATGTATAAAAAGCTTGAAAAGGTGGTTGTTTCTGGCGTGTTATTTCTTCTTCTTGCTGTCTTTATCGGCCTTGGCTGATTTGCCCTCTTTATCAGACTTGTCTTTGCTGTCGTCGTCGCCCTTGGACTTGTTGTCGTCTTTTGCTTCGTCTTGTTGGCTGTCGTCGGCGTCGGCGTCCTTGTCTTCACTCTTGTCTTTACTCTTGTCGTTCTCATCGTCTTTGCCATCATCCTTCTTCTCCTTCTCATCGCCTTCATCCTTGTTGTCTTGTTGGTCCTTGTCATCTTTCTTCTCGTCCTCATCATCGTCGTTCTTCTCCTGGTCATCTTCTCCGTCGTCCTTTTCATCCTTCTTCTTGTCTTTACCATCATTCTCTTGTTTGCCTTGTTTACCCTTCATATCTTCCTGCTTCTTCTTCTTTTCAGCCTGTCCTTCTTCCCTGGCCTTCTTGGCCTTTTCCTTTCTAATCTTGTCCATCTCCTCCCTCTCTAATTTCGCCCAGTCCGTGTCCTTGTCAGCTAGGCCCGGATCCTCCAACCGCGCCTTTGTACTCTTTTGGTTGAGCTCTCCACGCTGAGAGATCTTGGCTCGACCGACGAGCGAGACGAAGATGGCGAGGCCGACCATGGCCGTGAGGAGGAAGCGGTACTTTCCGTACCACGGCGGCGCCCATCCGCGCTTCGTGGCGCGGGAGTCGGCGTAGTAGAGGGCGACAAAGGCGCCGAATTGGGTCGTCAGGGCGTATTCGAGGGGCATCATGAGCGTGGGCCAGGCGACGATGGAGGCGCCGAGGCCCATTCCGTAGCGAAAACGGGTACGGTCATGCTGCGGCTTCTTTTCTGCGTATTCGAGGCCCTAGAAATAATCAACATGTTAGTTGTTTCGAGCCTCAAATTGGTAAAGAATGAGAGGGCAGGAGGAAAGAAGGCCCGTACCCAGTGAATGGCTCCGAGGAACGAGATGATGACGGCGCCGTATCCGAGCTGTAAAGGCTCTATGAAATCAAGTAGATATTTTGCCGTTTCGTGTTCTAAAAGGATGTGGTCGAGAATTCGGTTGCCGCTGGGGACGTCCTTGTTGAGATTCCAAGCCAGGAAGACGGTTGATAGAGAGGTGGCGAGATAGGGAACTGTCCCTGATAGACCAAGAATGTGAGATTCTCGAGGGACCGTATCCAGACGGAACGTATCTTTGACCATGTCCTAAGAATAGAATACATCTTAGTTCTTGAAATGTTATTTGGAAAATGAAAGGCAAGTAGTAGCTTGGGCATTTCATACAATATCGTGTTTGAGGCCCGAGTTCACTTCTGTGGCATCTTTCTTTGTGCCTTCATCAGGCTCGAAGACGCTTCGGACGCTGCTGGTGGAGGAAACGTGCTCGCTCGACTCGAGTATCTTGGGGGGAGGCTTTGAAGGGTCGTTGGAAGAGCTGGAGAGACGGATTGTGTTGTATAACGGACGTCGCTGTGTGATTGAAGGTGGTCTTGGAGAGGCGAGCTTCGCGCCGAGTACGCGCCCCGGGGAGCGTAGCAATGGTGAAGCTCTGAACATGGCTTTTGAGGCGTTTTGATGTGGTTATCTGAAAAAGGAAATGTTTATTGGAATTGGAAAAGGAAATGTACAAGAAAATATGGATCGTGGGCAGAATCTACACGCGGCAGGAGATGGATAAGTGTAAGTGGGCTCGTCTCAGCTCTTCTGGACCATACTACTTGGGTTTATTATCTTGATTGTCACTTTTATTTAAGAGCTAAGCTGCGATTTGAATTGAATCGCAGTTACTTGATAAGAAAATAAATAAATACGAATGGTAAAACAAGAATCCGATCAGCGCGAGTGCAAAGCGGTGATGCTATGATGACATTGCTGGGATGGTGGTCGTGACGTAATGGCCACATGCGCTGGGGTATGACGGCGGGAAAAACGGGAGAAGCTGCCGAAAGGTCGGATATGAATGGCTATGAGAGTGATAAAATGGGGAAGGACGTTGGGATGAAGGAGATTTTGCGTTTTAGCTTTATGGATGTCGTGGCGGTGCCTTTGAAGCTGCTATAATTAAATAGGGCCTGTGGATGATTTTGGTGATGCTGTTGCGTCCAGCGCGTGGCTGGATATGCCGAGGTAGAGTTGCTGAAATAATAAATGAACAATTACGGAAAAGATTCCTTGATTTATCGAGCTCGTGCGGATTCACGACATTTGAGGTCTGCATTGCAACTTCAATTGATGTCTGGTAATGGCATAAGAATAGAGGCTTTCTCGTGGCGTGGTAGGTGGTTGGCCAAAACAGGAAATAAGCCCAAAAAGGCACGAGGAGTTGTCGAAATGTCGGAGCCAATACGAGGTACCAGCACTCCACTATTTCACGGCATGCCAATGGTTGTGTACCTAGTCCACCATGTTTTCATGTACATACAAGTAGTCTAGATATATGTTTCGCATTGATCGTTTTGCTAATTAACGCCGCTCCATTAGGAGGCCTCAAGCGGTGCTCATGTCCACGTCAATCACACCAACACTGAACTCGACGCCTGCATAGCAATTGGCCGGCGCCGAACTGGCGGGGCAGCCCTTACGTCATCGCCATCCATCACTAACTGGACGACAGGGGGCGTGTCGCTATACTCGGGGATCTACCGCCTGTAGCAGGTACCCGACGGCGCTGCAGCTGCCCGCGAGAGGCCTGGAGCGCGCTGGAGCTGCGCTACAACACGTCCCTCTCGTGAGAATAGCCTGATCGAGTTCCTGCCATTGATCGATTGACGTCGTCGATCTGTATTCCTGGCCCAAACACCAGCACTGGAGCCACATCGACACAACTCTGGCCTTTCAGTCCTTCATCCAGATCTACTGCGTACTGTACTGCACTCGCACCGCATCGACACCGCGGGCCTGATCCTTTGCGACACGTCTGTTTTCTTTGTTTTGTCGTTTCTGTGCCTCTGCCTCTGCCCCTCCTGTCAGGCGTCGACGCATGAACGCACTCCGCTCTGCCTACAGCCGCAGCCCACGAAATCACTTCGCTTCGCGCCCAATCTCCCCACTTTGAAGCGGACTTTGCAATTGCTTGCTTCCTCCTCTGCCTCTCTCGCTGTGACTCGAAAACTCACAAAGCAGCAGCTCACAGGCACCAGACCGCGGCCGCGACGACTCCAATCGACGGCGAGCACTCTGTGCAGAGCCTCCATCCTCCAGCACCGCCAATGTCCCTCCGCTAGGCCCTCGACCGACAAACTCTCTCCAACGCCCGTATCCCCGGCCCGGGTTACGGCATAAAACACCGGCAAGATGTTGGAAGGACTCGTCGCCGGCTTGCTCAACCGCTTCCTGGGCATGTACGTCAAGAACTTCGATCCCACACAGCTCAAGGTTGGCATCTGGTCCGGCGACGTCAAGCTGCGGAACCTCGAGTTGCGCCGAGAAGCCCTCGACCAGCTCAAGCTGCCCATCAACGTCATCGAGGGGCACCTGGGCGAGCTGACGCTTTACATCCCCTGGTCCAACATTCGGGGCGCTCCCGTCAAGGTCTTTATCGAAGACGTATACTTGCTGGCGAGCCCCAAAGAGGAGGCCGAATACGACGAGGATGAGGAGCAGCGCAGGAAACAGAGGCTCAAGATGGAGAAGCTGGAGAACGCCGAGCTGCTGAAAGAGCGCAGCAAGGCTGGCATGAGCCAAGAGGAGCAGAAGAAGAACCAGAGCTTTGCGCAGAGCCTGGCCACCAAGATCACCGACAATCTGCAGATTACGGTCAAGAACATTCACATTCGATACGAAGACTCCATCTCTGCGCCTGGCCACCCGTTCGCCCTCGGTGTTACGCTTGAACAGTTTAGCGCTGTCAGCGCCGATGGCCAATGGACGCCATCCTTTATCCAAGACTCGACCAAAACGACACACAAGCTCGCGACGCTGGATTCTTTGGCCGTATACTGGAACACAGACTCCGAGCTCTTCACCAATGGCGGCGACACAATATCTCACGAGGACATGGTTAGCAAGTTTAAGAGTATGCTTGCCAAGGTCCACGTCGTCGACTCGAGCAACCAGTTCATCTTGAAGCCCGTCAGCGGACAAGCAAAGATCGAGCTGGATAAATCTGGAGCTATTGAAGCGCCCAAATTCAAAGCCACCCTCTTGTTTGACGAGATTGGTGTTGTATTGGATGACGACCAGTACCGTGATTCCCTGATGATGGTGGACTTATTCCACTACTTCATTCGCCACCAGGAATATAAAGCGTTGAAACCCAAGGGCGTCACTCCGAAAGAGGATCCTCGAGCTTGGCTGCTATTTGCAGGGAACGCCATCCTGGGTAAGATTCACGAAAGGAACCGCAAGTGGTCGTGGGATTACTTCAGAGAGCGCCGCGATGATCGTAAACGGTATATTGAGCTCTTCAAGAAGAAGAAGCAAGGGCTTGCTCTCGAAGCCGAGGAGACTGAGAGTTTCGAGAAGCTTGAAACGAAGCTTAGCTATGAAGATCTTAGATTCTGGCGGTCGTTGGCCCGGAACCAGCTAAAGAAAGAGAATGCAGCCGCCCTGAGCAAGCAGCCTCAGCAACCACAGCAGCAAGGTTGGGTTGCCTGGATGTGGGGCTCCAAGCCAACAGGGACCATTGAACAAAACGAGGAGAACACGCAGATGACGGAAGAGCAGCGTAAAGAGCTGTACGAAATGATCGACTGGGATGAGAAGACTGCCCTCGCCGAAGAAGTTGATGTCCCACGTGAAGCCGTTAACATGTGCATCGAGGCATCACTCAGAACCGGCAGCTTTACACTGAAAAAGAGCCCTCACCACAATACCATGGATCTTCTCAGCTTGCATTTTGACGTGTTCAAAGCCAAGGCTCTGCAAAGAAAAGACTCAGTTCTGGCTAGTATCAGTCTGGGCGGCCTACGCGTCAATGATGGCACAACTCCCGACAGTCTCTACCCAGAAATTGTTCGAGTAAAGGACGCCCAAAAACGCAAGGTCATCTCACTTGAAGAGCTAGAGACTACTGAAGAGGAACCCTTTTTCGAGTTTGAGATTGAACAGAACCCCCTGGAGCGGGAAGGTGACATTGCGATTGTAGGCAAGCTGAAGCCTCTCGAAGTTGTCTGGAACCCCAATTTCGTCGTGGGGGTTGTTGACTTTTTCCGGCCTCCGGAGAGGCACATGGAGTCTATTGCTGCTTTGATGGAGACTGCCGGTGCTACAGTTGAAGGCCTCCGTGAACAGACACGAGTAGGCCTTGAGTTTGCATTGGAAGAACACAAAACTATCAACGCCGAGCTCGATTTACAGGCACCGCTCATCATCATTCCAGTTAGCATCACTACCGAGCGCTCGACGTGTCTTGTTGTAGACGCAGGTCACATGCATGTGAACAGCCAGCTGGTCGACAAGGAGACATTGAATGAGATCCAAGCCAAACAGCGCCAGTCGTACAATGAAGAGGACTTTAAGCGCCTCGAGTCCGCCATGTATGACAGATTCATCGTCAAATTTACTTCGACTCAAGTCCTAATCGGACCGTCCATCGAAGAAGCAAAGTCTCAACTGACCAGTAAATCTGGTGGATCTCCTTTACATGTAGTGGAAGAGATCAATGTCGATTTTGTGGTGGCAATGTCAATTTTACCCAAGGCACCTAACCTCACCAAGCTGAAAGTCTCTGGCCATCTGCCCATGCTGCATGCCACGGTCTCTGATACCAAGTACAAGAACTTGATGCAGATTATCGATGTTGCAATACCAAAGTTCAGCAAGGAGACGGAACAAACCGTGGCACCTACTCCTGGAAGACCACCGTCTTCACGCTCTTCACGACCACGGTTGGGTAGCAGTGCTTCTAGCCGATCGGCGCTCAGATCGATGCGTAATCGGCGGCAATCCGCATTCCCCTTCCTCCAGTCATCCACGGCAGTCATCTTGGAGGATATTGATGACGATGACGACGACGACTTCGAAGATGCTGAGGATGGTACCCATAGCGAGCAGTTCAAGATGCAGCAGCGGAGCTTCGAGTTCAACTTCAAAGTAGACACTCTGAAGGGCTCGCTTTATCGAAGCGATCCAAACAAGGCAAAACCTGATGCTCTGCTTGTGGAATTAGTGGCGGAACGCTTTGATCTATCCTTCTACACCAGGCCCTATGACATGGCAGCGGAAGTTTCCCTCGGGTCGGTGACAGTGGACGACTTTGTCGA